CTTCACGACTTGTCCAATACCGGATGGCAGAGAAAATGGTGGATTTCACTTATCACGCGCGCAATGTATTGTGGTTGGAAGGGATCCTTTAAGCAGAGTGGCTTTCATAGGAATGTCAGATTTCAGGTGATGTCATATCAACTGTAGGTGTATTATTTTGATCAAGTAGGGCTTCGTAACGATTTAAAGCAGAGTTTTCAGTCTTCCTCAAGATAGATTTGACGATCTTCACAGCTGATTCTGCTTTGCCATTAGTCTGATGATGGCGAGGTGAGGATTTCGTGTGTTTTATGTGTTTTCTCGGACAGAATTGCGAGAATTCCTTACAATCGAAATTCCTTCCACAGTCAGAGACAATCTCGTCGGGAAGTCCCCATCATGAGAACTGTTTGAGTAGGAAGGCAATGGTTTCAGTTGCAGTTTGGTCTCGCATCTTATGAAATTCGATCCAGTTGCTGTAGTAGTCGATCAATATCAGATAGTGTTCCCCTTTAAACTCAAAAAGGTCGGCTGCGAGTTTGGAGCAAGGTCTGCCAGGAATAGAATGACTCATCAGACTTTCTTTTGGGTTATCTCTCTGGAAGGATTGACAAACTTAACCTCAAGATATGAACTGTTTCAGTTGAGTTCATATCAGGCCACCAAAGGGATGTATGAGCATGTCTTAAAGTTGACTCGACACCCATGTGAGCTTGATGTAACTTTTCAGTTAGGCTTTGTCTCGGGATAGCTGGAACTACAATGCGATTACCTCTGTAGATGATGCCATCATTGAATGATAGTTGACCTTTGCAACTCAAGAATGGAAGAACATCTATTGGAAGACGTCTTTTACTGATGGACCAGTTTTCAGTAATTTGGTGGATTACTGACTGCAAGACTTTGTCCTGTGCAGTTTCCTCTGCAATTTCATTGAGGTGGCTTGTCACACTTTGGTCTTGAATAACCAAACCGATGGTTTCAATCTCTTCTTCGCTCTGGCTGCGTGTGTGATTAGTCGTATGGGATCTGCTAAGGGCATCAGCGATTACCAGGTCTTGGCCTTTGATGTACTTAAAGTCAAGGTCATATCCCACATTTCGGCGCAGCATTCTTTGAAGTCGCTTGAGTACCGCAGCAAGTGGTTTGTGGTCATCATGAACAGTTACTTTTCTCCCATATGTATAGGTTTGGAACCTGGTGAGGTCAAAGACCACACTGAGCATCTGTTTCTCAATCTGGCTGTAACGTTTCTCAGTTTCCGGCAGTAAGGGCTCTTGAGGCCTACTGGACGGGTTGGCCACCTTGTATGAGGCAGGCTCCTAAGCCGCTTGATGAAGCATCAGTTTCGATTTCCACTGGCATATCTGGTTTGAAATATTTCAGAAGTGGTGCATTGGAGATGAGTGCTTTGATTTCGTCAAAAGCTTTCTGTTCATTCGCTTCCCAGGTGAATGCAACGTCGTTCTTCAAGAGTGTTCTGAGTGGTGCAGATTTGGTTGATAAGACTTCAGAGAATCTCAACAGGTAAGTCACAACACCGAGTAGTCTTCTTACTTCCTCCTTGTTGGTTGGGGCTGGCATGGCTTGTATGCTATCTTGTTTCTGTGGGTCGGGTTTGACTCCTTTGTCGGTCAGCGTTACCCCCATGTACGATAACTCGGTCTTCCTCAGTTGGAACTTGTTAACGCTTAGTTTGATATGCTTCTGTTGGCATCGATCTAGTAAAGCAGACAGAGTATTGAATATCAGGTAAGGTCAGAAATAGGGTGGGGAAAATCACAGAGTTTGGTCATAAGTAGGGTAAGGGTTTTGGGGAGTGGCGTGCACACCCCCACCTAATTTTTCTGGGAGTTCTCCCCCCCAGGCCTCAGGTAGAGTTACCATCTTGCCATGCCATTATATCTGAAATGATGTCCACCCTTTTTTCTTTAAAGGAGGTTTGCCTAATCTAATTTGAAAAATAGCAAATAGTTCTTTTTTTGCAATTTCTTGAAGTCACTCAGTGTGTAACTTTCACTGATCTGATGACAGCTGTTGTTTGCAATTGAAGTAGATGTCCAGGAATTTCAACATGAGGGCAGCAGTAATTCCTATGCAGAAAGAGCTTGTGATGCTTCTGCCAATAGACTCTTTCCCTGTTCCAAATGGGAGATTTGCCTCTTTTGGTAACTTCTATGTTTACGGGAACATCCCTCATGCTCCAAAACCTCTATCCTTTTTTCTACCAGCAAAATCTAGCTACAACTATCTCATTGAGTACATTTTCTTTGAAAGTATTTTTACATGTTGTCATTTTTCTTCTCCACACTTGCAAAATGAAAGGGGAAAAAAGAGGACAGATTGAAAAATATTGATTACCATTGGATTAAAAGTGTGGCACTTATATTGTACATGTTAATGAAACTTGTAATCCTTGAATACAGGTATTTTTGCATGGTGTATGCAGTAGAGATATAGCTATACTATGATATGCATACCCTAGCCAGTAAATGACTTAACAGATCCCATTTCTTGCAGTAAACCAGGAAGGTGGCATAACATAATGTGTATGTAAGGTGTTATGGGATTTGCTTTGGCTTATTCAGAAATATGTGGAGCTCATCAATTATGACCCTTTCAATCAGTATGTCAAAAAGAGGCTGTGCATGGCATCCGGGATCCTTATACCATCCAGGGTTTAAATTGCGTTTCAGTTTCAAGAAAAAAGTCAAAGGCTTGGTGAAGTCATTCCTGTAAAATATTAAAAATTAAATATTAATGAGTGTTGCAGTTGTTGAGGCCCATATGGTAATTGTGTGAATGGCTACATCCAGTGATTGAGAATTTATTGTGAAAGTAAATATTTACTGATTAAATTGTATTTAGTTTTTGTTGTTATGTATATCATCTTTTTAAGTAAATTATGTATTGTTACTGAAAAGCCCCACCAGGGAAGTGTCAATAAAGTTATTGTATTTGACGCACAGCTGCTACCTTTCTTCATTGCTACATGTACACCAAACACATGAATGTTTACATGTGGCAGCCTTCATACCCATACAGAATAGAAGAAACTGAAGGAAAAACAAAAGAGATATGTAACAGTAAATAATTAATTTTTACTGAGAATGCCTTAAATTGAACTTGAAAAACTTACATTGCAATGTTAGTAACATTATTTTTATTTCAACAACTTTTTTCCTTTTTTCTATGCTTGAATTAATGATGAAGTGATTGATAATTTGTAATGAAAAGTGAACCATAATTATAATATCTGGCTTTTTAAGAGGGTACAGGTAAAAAAAGCATAAACCACATACATGTATGTGCTCCTCTCAAAAAAAGGTGGTTAGAAAATAGTTATGTCTGGATTTGTTAACCTTGTAGTCACCACAAAGATAGAGCTGGATTTTCAGTTGCTTTCCATCAACTCTAGTACTTTTTCTTTCGAGAGGGAGTTAACTTCTTCAATGATATTTTGGAGGCTGATTCTTAAAGTATCATAGTCCTCCTTACACTTAATCACTGAGATTGTATGATTTCCTGGAAAAATTAAAGGTAAACAAGGATTATTTTGTAAAAATGGCATTCCCTTCATAAGAGATATATGCTGCCAAATTTTCACATAAATATATTACCTGAACTAGACACGACGGGCGACCCTAAAAGCCGGAACGGCGGAATGGCAGAATGGCGGAATGGCGGAAAATGACCCCAAATCCTAAAACACGGAACGGCGGAAAATGACCCCAAATCCTAAAACACGGAACGGCGGAAAATGACCCCAAATCCTAAAACACGGAACGGCGGAAAATGACCCCAAATCCTAAAACACGGAACGGCGGAAAATAACCCCAAATCCTAAAACACGGAACGGCGGAAAATGACCCCAAATCCTAAAACACGGAACGGCGGAAAATGACCCCAAATCCTAAAACACGGAACGGCGGAAAATGACCCCAAATCCTAAAACACGGAACGGCGGAAAATGACCCCAAATCCTAAAACACGGAACGGCGGAAAATGACCCCAAATCCTAAAACACGGAACGGCGGAGAATGACCCCAAATACGATAACACGCGTGACTAAAATTAAGTGTTATTAATTTTTTTCTTTTACTGAGTGGTATAAATAATAATGAACCATTATGCATGAAAGATAGCTGCGTTTTCGCGTTGTTAACCTGTTTAGTTACCTTTTGTTATGCAAAATTTGCCATGAGTTTTAGTCGCGGCATAAAAAGTCGCACAGCATGTGAAAACCAACTCGACATACCACATTACAATAAACAATTGTAACTTTGA